CATATCATCTAGTCCCCCCACTCTGGTCGAGTCTGAATGACTCGATCTAAGAGTAGGTTTTGTCTGTATCACTGAGGTTCCACCTCACTCATTTCGACCTCCTGACGTAATTCATACCTTTGTTCGACCATTTTTTCTATATAACCGCCATTTTGCAATTTCAAATTTCGAATTTCACCACTTGTTCGCCTTTTCAGGTGCGTCCTTTCGTCTGTCAGGCCTCATCATTGCCTCGTGACCCACACTCCTTCGTATTTCGTGCCGCCTTAAAACCCTCATTCCTGTTGGCAGTCAGATCAACTGCTTTAATCCATCTATTAGCGATCCTCTTCCTTTCCACCTGCCTTCTCATCACAGCCCTTAAAACTTCGCGATCCAACGGCTGATATTTCTCCTTGCTTGTTTATTCCCCGTATAAATACTAACACTTAAATAGGTTTTTCTTTTCTTCACCCTCGCATTCTCGTAAAACTAAGCTTTTCTGCAACTCGAGTTCTCTCGAAACCACGCGATCTTCAAGCTCTCAACAACAAGTCGTCGTTTACCATGAGTAGGTTTTCTGATCCTCTGTTTTTATGTATTTATTGCCCTTAATTTTAAGTTTTATTTCTCCGCTTCTGGCCTTCCTCTATTTCTGCCGTTGCATTTTCTCGTCCTCCCACTATCCCTTCTTCGACTTTTTCTTTTTCTTCTCTCTCTGTTTTGATCAGTCTTTTGTATTTTGCTTTCCCTCTCAATTTTCCTCAGATTCTGCTACCTCGAGCGAAAACGATCGATATAGTGGGAAGGACATGAATCCTCCATCTTCTTCTGTGACCCCTAGTTTTTCGAGTGACTCCGTGCAAGAAATTCTTCAACCTGAGCCTATTAGGATTGTACGGCCCATGGTCATCAGCGACAGCCCCACAACTACTGCACTCTCTCCTTCCGCCTATTTGGTTGACCAACCAAAGGAGGAAGTCACCAGTAGTCCCCCTTCTCCACCCATCAAGCATACTCGTCGAATAAGCGGTCAAGATGATGAGATCGGGGATGAGGACGATCCCCAAGACCACATCTCGCTATCTGCTCGTGACCCCAAAGACTTCGTTCCTTTGTCCTCTCGTCCCCTATCCTCGAACGCCCCTTCTTCCTCCCGAACATCCAAGCCATCTAAGTCGCCCAAGCAGTCCTCGAGCACTTCCCATCTTGACTTCGACCTAATTGGTCATCCCGGGGCCTTTTGCACTCCTGGTGACGAGGATACTTACGACAATCATCCTGCTGATTGTTATACCTTTTTTCGCGCGCACTTCGATGTAGGTCTGCGCTTCCCCATCTGTCAGGCGTTGATCGACCTGTGCGGACTATATGGTTTACCCCTCAATCAGATCACCCCCAATGCCTTCAAGACGTTAGCGTCCTTTGTCGTCTTGTCCATAGTCCGCATGGGTAGAGTAGACTTAGATTTTTTTGTTTATTGTTATTTTGCTTCGGAACAAGCTGACGGCCTATATTTGAAAAGTCGGAATAATGCTTGTTTTATCTCTGATCGACCATATAATGTCTCAAGGTGGAAAGATCAGTCCGTATATATATGTCTCTAAAGCCTTA